ATTTAGGACAGACTTGGGTAAATACTGGTTCAGTAACAGGGTTGTTGATTTGTGGAACCAATTGCCGCGTAACGTGGTGGATGTGGGGTCCCTCGATTGTTTCAAGCGCGGGTTGGACAAGTATATGAGTGGGATTGAGTGGTTATAGATAGGAGCTGCCTCGTATGGGCCAATAGGCCTTCTGCAGTTACCTTTGTTCTTATGTTCTATCTGGAATCATCTGTGCTTACTGAGCCTGTAAATCTCATCTAGGGAGCTTACAGGGTAGGTATTTGCCTTGCCCTGGTCTAATTAAGCCAATAGACCTGGCTGGCCCGTTAGGGTGAGCTTAACGACTAATGTGCTTACACCACAGGGATATTAAGATTTTCTTCTGCATCTCGTGAATATATTAAAATGGCAGGTCTCCTAAGACGATTTTCTATTCAAATACTGCCGCACAAAGCAATGATGGAATGAGCTTTAAATAATCTGGGCAAAAGGAAAAACCTGAAGAGAATATCGCATTTTTATTTTTGTAAACAAACGCTTGTGTAATGCAACGTGAGTCGACAGAGAAGGAAAAACTGATAACGTTTGCACAAGGCGATAGCGTAATCTCAACATACACACCTCGGCTGCCTGAACCCACAACATATAACTGTAATGAAAGCATATCTTGTGGTGGTATGCTATCTTCCTATAGGCAGACAACAATGATGCAGATACAGTACTTCAAATCTTCTTAGAGACAATAAATTGATATTATATGTAGTTTCCAAAGTAACGTAGGGATATCTAGTTAATACTTCTTGATAATGTAATCGAAGAAAGCACACAGAGAGAGAGAGAGAAGATTAAGCTACCCAAAAGGTGGCACGGGCATGAATAGCCCATAAGTGGTGGCCCTTTTGAGCCATTTCTAGTATCAATAGATGATACTGGAGATCTGTGGAGGTGCGACTGCACCCTGCGTGACGGGAGATGTCTGAGCACACACACACAGTCTTATACATTATACAGACTGTGTTGCAAGGTTAGCGGCTGAGTGGACAAAGCTTGGGGTTCGTAATCTTAAGGGCCCAGGTTCGGTTCTTGGCCAAGGTGGAAACAAATGGGCAGTTTCTTTCACCCTGATGCCCCCCTGTTTACCTAGCAGTAAACAGGTGTCTGGGATTTAGGCTGCTTTCTGGGAATGTGTGTACTAACCTAGTTGTGCTTACAGGGGTTGAGCTTTGGCTCTTTGGTCCCGCATGTGTGTGTGTGTGTGTGTGTGTGTGTATTTCACCTCTCATTAATCTAATGGCAGAGGCTACATTAATCTCTGAAATTCTATCCCTAATACGCTTCAGATTCAATTCCATCCTCATTATCTCAATCTTAGCATTTCTTGAACATCCTAAGATTATTATCATGGCTTCATTTTGTACCTTCTCCAACTTCAAACACACACAACACCGCTCCTATGCCAGGTAAGTCCACTACGGGCTCACCATAGCCCGTGCTACTTGAAATTTGTTCAGAGTAGCTGAATCTATAACAATAACAACAACATTCTCCAACTTGCCAAGCCTACCTTTGCCAAAACAAGAAATGACAGGAGCAGTATAAACAATATACTAAATCTTAAAGTATAAATCTTATATAAATCTTAAAGTACTCAAGTATACCATTCGTAGCACAGGGGCTCCCACTACCTTTCCACGGCATGACGTGTGTGTGGAGATGCAAGGAGACTGAAGAGTGCTTCATACCAATAGTAAGGGAAAAAGTAGCAGAATATAACCCATGGTTTAATAGACAGTGTCGAGAAGCTAAAACAAAAAGCAGGGTGGAGTGGAGGAAATATAGATGTCAAAGGACAGGAAATCAGGAGTTGATGTAACAGAGTTAGGAACGAATACTGTACAGAAATATAAGAAGAGAAAAGGTTAGAAAAGGTTAAGAATTTTGCAATGAGGCTCATCCTAGAATTGTGAAAGATGGGATATGAAGAGACTGAAGGAACTAAACCTGGCAGGAGAAAACAAGAGTGAGAGAGATATGATAGAGACGTATAAAATACTTAGGGGGATTGACAGATTGGAAATAGAGTAAATATTCACAATGAATGCAACAGAACAAAGGGACATGGGTGGAAGCTTGAGACTCAGATGAGTCACAGAGATGTTAGAAAGTTTATTTATTTAGGGTAAGAGTAGTGGGAAAATAAACTGAATTAAAGGAGCAAGTTGTAGAAGTAAACTCTATTTTAAAATTAGATATGGCAGGGGAAATAGGCAAGGAGTCATTGCTTTAGACAATTGGTGGCTAGAAGGGCGGGGTCCAAAAGCTAAAGTTCGATCCAGCAGGCACAAATAGGCGAGTACAAGCACACACGGTTTTATTTTAGTAACCTTATCATGAAATCAAATAGACTGCACATAATTGCGGGAATACTTAAATCGATATTTCAAACACTTTAAAATTTTGTTTTATATTTTACTGAATAAATTATTGAAACTAGCATTTTCCACTCTTATTTTATTTATTTTCCACATTTTAAACTCCACTCCACCCTGTACAGCATTGAGAACAAAAGTTCACTCTTTAATACAGCGTCTTGATAATGGAAATATACATCTGGGCTATAGTATGCATGATATATCTTCATATTAGTATATTTTGGTAGCAGTCTTTCTTGTAAACATATGTTGTTGAATATGACCGAAAAAGTAAGATTAATAATTCTAACACAAATTTTTTTCATATTTCTTATGTTTTTATTCATGGATGAATAGCACATATACATATATCAGGTGAAAGTGCTAAGCCAGCATGACTAGATTCACATACAAACATTAGAATAATGATGAATATAATGTATATATATATTGAATGCATTTGCTACATCAAAACCTCCACAAAGCTAATTTTATACTGCATCTTCAAAATGAAACCTAAGGTCATTTGCAGCAAACGTTTCAAGTCAAAGCCTCCATGCCACTGCTGGTCGATTTGTTTACATAAACGTATCACAGAGGCCGAACTCCAAGCTTCTCCAACCAATGGGTATAAATTGGATAAGTTTAGATTTAGGACAGACTTGGGTAAATACTGGTTCAGTAACAGGGTTGTTGATTTGTGGAACCAATTGCCGCGTAACGTGGTGGATGTGGGGTCCCTCGATTGTTTCAAGCGCGGGTTGGACAAGTATATGAGTGGGATTGAGTGGTTATAGATAGGAGCTGCCTCGTATGGGCCAATAGGCCTTCTGCAGTTACCTTTGTTCTTATGTTCTATCTGGAATCATCTGTGCTTACTGAGCCTGTAAATCTCATCTAGGGAGCTTACAGGGTAGGTATTTGCCTTGCCCTGGTCTAATTAAGCCAATAGACCTGGCTGGCCCGTTAGGGTGAGCTTAACGACTAATGTGCTTACACCACAGGGATATTAAGATTTTCTTCTGCATCTCGTGAATATATTAAAATGGCAGGTCTCCTAAGACGATTTTCTATTCAAATACTGCCGCACAAAGCAATGATGGAATGAGCTTTAAATAATCTGGGCAAAAGGAAAAACCTGAAGAGAATATCGCATTTTTATTTTTGTAAACAAACGCTTGTGTAATGCAACGTGAGTCGACAGAGAAGGAAAAACTGATAACGTTTGCACAAGGCGATAGCGTAATCTCAACATACACACCTCGGCTGCCTGAACCCACAACATATAACTGTAATGAAAGCATATCTTGTGGTGGTATGCTATCTTCCTATAGGCAGACAACAATGATGCAGATACAGTACTTCAAATCTTCTTAGAGACAATAAATTGATATTATATGTAGTTTCCAAAGTAACGTAGGGATATCTAGTTAATACTTCTTGATAATGTAATCGAAGAAAGCACACACAGAGAGAGAGAGAAGATTAAGCTACCCAAAAGGTGGCACGGGCATGAATAGCCCATAAGTGGTGGCCCTTTTGAGCCATTTCCAGTATCAATAGATGATACTGGAGATCTGTGGAGGTGCGACTGCACCCTGCGTGACGGGAGATGTCTGAGCACACACACACAGTCTTATACATTATACAGACTGTGTTGCAAGGTTAGCGGCTGAGTGGACAAAGCTTGGGGTTCGTAATCTTAAGGGCCCAGGTTCGGTTCTTGGCCAAGGTGGAAACAAATGGGCAGTTTCTTTCACCCTGATGCCCCCCTGTTTACCTAGCAGTAAACAGGTGTCTGGGATTTAGGCTGCTTTCTGGGAATGTGTGTACTAACCTAGTTGTGCTTACAGGGGTTGAGCTTTGGCTCTTTGGTCCCGCATGTGTGTGTGTGTGTGTGTGTGTGTGTATTTACTATTTGTATCTACAGAATCCAGCTTTTAACTCTTGGACCCCGCCTTTTTAACCAATTTATTTTTCCTCTGTTATGTCTACTACATATATTTCTCACTAACACACACACACACTTCCCCAGGAAGCAGCCCGTAGTGGCTTTCTAACTCCCAGGTACCTATTTGCTGCTAGGTAAACAGGGTGAAAGTGCCCATTTGTTTCCGCCTCCGCCGGGGATCAAACCCGGGCCCTTAGCAATACGACCCCCGAGCGCTGTCCACTCGGCCGGTAATGGAGAGTGTGTATAATATATATATATATATATATATATATATATATATATATATATATATATATATATATATATATATATATATATATATATATATATATATATATATAAATATATATAAAATATATAATGTGTGTGTGTGTAGTCAATATAACAGGGAAAAATAGATTGATTAGAAAGGCAATGTTCAAGAACTAATAGCTCGATTCTGCACTAAATCTGCAAACACAAATGATAAATACAGAGCGACAATAACGCTACTGCTCTCGCACACTCATTATTGATAGCCTTTTATTGAATTATTCCAATGAGACTACTTAAAGTTGTCAAAGACTGCCAATGAGCACGTTAACGGGGATAGCGGACGCCCTTGTGCAGACCCGACACGACAAGACACGACAGGAAGCAGGTCAGGAGGATCTTACCTTAATGCCACTGCGTCCTTGCTGCTTCAGGAGGACGTTTTCCGGCTTCATATCACAATGGATGATCTTGTTCTTGTAGAGTGCGTCCAGGCACAGCAGGAGACTGTGAGCAAACTTTCGCACAAGTTGTAAGCTAAATCCCATGAATTTATTTTTCTTAATAAGCTCGTAGAGGTTAATGGAGAGGAGCTCGAAGGTGATACAGGTATGGGAGCGGAAGTTGAAGTTGTCGAACATATGGATGATGTTCATAGTGTTGTCCTTATCCTGCTTCCTCAGGTGTTCCAGGATGCGGATCTCCTCCTGGGCCTGCCTGTGGAACCTCTTCTCGTTGCGGACGATTTTGAGGGCCACATGGAGGTGGCTCTTGTGGTCGTACGCCTTCACCACCTGCCCGAAGCTCCCCTTCCCAATAATTTTGAGCACCTCGTACCTGTACTGGATGTGGTCGTGAGGAATGTGGGCGTACGACCCTTGGTGGTCGTCGTACCCAAAGTTAGAGGAGATGGCCTGGTTCCCAGACCCTACGATACCCGGTCTCTTCTTTGCATTGGCGCCTATGAAGTAGATTTGTGGATAATTAAAGATTTCTTTATGTTCGAAAGGAGTAAGCTTGTTCATATAATATTTCATGACTTGTTCAGGTGTGGCTACATAGGTCTTTGGTTGTCTGGTCGAGCCGTTTTTGAGGCTGCTAGAGTCTGCGGAGGGCGGCCGCACAACCGGCAGACTCGAGGAATCCGCGTTCACTTGACTCGACACGGAGTTGGGTTGACCGTTCTGTTCAGAGTTCGAATTCGTGTCATCGAACTCATAGAGCTGGGTGATGGACTGAGCCCCCGTGGTCTTCATGGCTAGAGGCTTGAGGGGCGGCAAGTGCGTGCTGCTGCCCCCCTCCAGGTAGGCGCTGGTGCCGGTGGTGGCGTTGCTGCTGGTGTTGGAGAGGGTAGTGTTGGTGTTGGTGGTGGTGGAGTCGCCCGGGGAGCCCGCACCGTTGATGTTTGCCAGTAGAGATCGGGTGCGGGAGAGGGGCATGGCCGCAAACACTCCTCCGCCTCCCAGCAACCCTCCTACTCCTCCTCCAACTAAGCCACCTCCGGGACCTCCCACGCTCCTGCACGCCGCCTCCCTATCTGTGGCCGCACATATCATAGCGCTGAAGCCGCCATCTCCTCCAGACAGCTGAGGGCCATGCTCACCACCACTCCTCGCACTACACTAAAACACTCACCACAAAGCACACACTTTTAACTCGCCTTCCCGGCTCCACTTGGGGGCGTTAAAACATACCACTTTCTAAAGATATTGTAAAATTATCCGCCAGGCTTCATTTGTAATTCCTTTAAATACCATTAAATTCATAAACACAACACACCGCGACACATCTCCGTCCACCAAGAGAACTTCCAAGAGACTCAGTTCATGAACGGTGAACAATGGAGACCACGTCAATGTCCTCTGACGTCATCACTCATGCACCAATCACAGCGCGGCTACGGTGTTGCCAGCGCGCGCTCTACGGTAGCTCCGTCTAGGGGAAGCATTAAACTTATCTCGTACACTTTCCATCTGTTACCAAGATAAAAATACATAATCATTTAGACTAAAAGACGCGCCTCACATCTTATCAGATATAAAGACTTCTTTATCTAAGATTATCCTTAAATAGGTTGAGACGATGACAACAGGTACAAGTTTTGTCTAAGAGTATATATATGGAACATGATATAGGCTTCAATATAGTCCACGATATGGGCTTTAATATAGGTCATATAATACCCGTTATCAGGGGACATATTCCTGGACTCTGGCTCATCGAGGCCCCACTCCCTCTAGGCCAACAACAGACATTCCCCAGGATGCAACCGACAACATTTGTCTAACTCTTTGGGGATCTCTACTATTTTAAGTGAATAGAGGCATCAGGTGAAAATGAGTGTGCCCAACCGTTTCTGTCTTACCCGGGTTAGACCACTGCTATAAGCATACGATATAATATATTCATTTACCAATGAATATATCACCAATGAATACCAATGAATATTTACCAATGAATAGCATATTGGAGAGATAAAGTTTTGTAATCCAGTGTTGACAGCTACACAAACAAAAATATATAAGAGCTACATTGAATCAAAGTGTATAAAGTTACTTACGCGTTCATATATTAATTTAAGTAAATTAAGAATGTTTAATTCAAATTACAGTATAAAACTTTAAGAGATGAAAATGTGGTTTAAAGTGGAATTAAAACGCATGTCCATACGGCATACTTTTATTGCTGCTTTAATTATATAACCGACCATACCAGATACAGAGGCATACCTTTTAAAGTTGCGGATATGAACACTTTAAGATGTAACATGTACAATGCTGACTACCTTGTTCTTTGTTAAGTAAACATCAACTGACTGAAAAACACAGCCCCAAACGTAAGCATTTCATCACACTTCAGTAACAAGACCCATATCACTGCCCTTCTATCTTCTCCTCGTCGTCTATGCCAATAACACCAATATAATGCTCTTCACTAATTCAAAGCAACACAATTTCCACACACACACACACACAAATCTACAAGGAATTCCAACATGATAATCATCGTACAGAGGCATGCAAGTGACGTCACAGAGGAGGAGGCGGAGCCAGCCAGCGCGCGCAGCCAGACTCTCACGGATACCATATGGCTCGGCCCGAGCGACGCCAGGATCGTGAGCTTTAGTGTGTAATACTGTATTGACCACTTCTCCAGCTCACCCCCATGTCTTCCATTACACTATTTCTCAAACAGCTGACTCGGCCTGGTCGATCTGTGTATGTGCAACCCACTCACTACTCAGCTCGGCTCACGCTCTTGATATGTGGGACGCGCGTAATTACCTGAGCCATGCGGCAGTACCGACCTCTGTACCCTGCTGGCCACAGGAACCCGCTTTACCGTACACCATTTACTATGCTCTTTCCTTAGGGTATATATATTATATATATAATATATAAGTATTATATAGTTATATTTATATCCAGTAACATTCACCATTTCTCCTCTCACATTGTCTCTTTCCCTCTCTCCTCTCCCTCGTCCAATTTCGTCTACCCTCACATTTCCTCTCCCCCCTGTCTCGTCTCCCCTCGTCTGCTCTCACCTCCCAGTTTCCCTTCGTCCCCTTGTTTTGTTCCCTGCTTGCACCTGTTTTATTCCCTCGCCCCCTGGTGTTACCTTTCGTCCCCTGCTTCCCCCTTTCGTCGCCTGTTTCTTCCCCTCGTCCTCAGCTTCCTTCCCTCGTCCCCAGCTTCCTCCCCTCGTCACCAGCTTCTTCCCCTCGTCCCCAGCATCCTTCCCTCGTCCCCAGCTTCCTCCCCTCGTCCCCAGCATCCTGCCCTCGTCCCCAGCATCCTCCCCTCGTCCCCAGCTTCCTCCCCTCGTCCCCAGCTTCCTCCCCTCGTCCCCAGCTTCATCCCCTCGACCCCAGCTTCCTCCCCAAGGTCCTCCCAGGGCCAGTTACTGACCCTCTCCAGGACTCAACCATCGACAATTGAGTAACTCACAGGGACCTATTTTACTCTATGGTAAACAGAGGAATCAGATAAAGAGAACGTGTCTAACCGTTTCTGTCCCGCCGGAGGGTTCAACCTGGGACCCCTTGCTTGTGAGCCGAGGACGTAGACTACTGTGCTATATGTAAAGCCATCAAAATAAATCTAAAATCTTTCTTATGAAGACTGTAACCTCAGTTCTTTCAATCCCTTTATGGTGAAGTTTGCGTGAAGGCCTGACAGCTGAGTGGACAGCACTTCGGATTAGTAGTCCTGAGGTTCTGGGTTCGATCCCCGGTGAAGGAGGAAACAAATGGACAGAGTTTCTGTCACCCACATGCCCCCTGTGCACCCAGCAGTAAATAGGTACCTGGGAGTTAGACAGCTGCTACGGGCTGCTTCCTGGGGGTAACAAAAATGGAGGCCTGGTCGAGGACCGGGCCGCGGGGACGCTAAGCCCCGAAATCATCTCCAGATAATCTTCGAAGTCGGGTCTAAAACCTGTGCCGCCGTGATTATGACGTCACAGTGACCTCACACACCATATACAACACAATATTTTATCTCTTATTTAAAAAAAAATCACAGCCCCGTTCCTGTGCCAGGTAAGTCCACAACGGGACTTACCTGGCATAGGTAAGTCCCATAGCCTGTACTACTTGGAATTTTTAGTTCCGAGTAGCTGAATCCTAAACAACAACAAGCTCTTATTTTCGTTAGGTTAGGTTGGGATACATTGGGTTGAGTTACATTAGGATAGGTTTAGGTTAGGTTAGGTTAGGTTTGGTTAGGGTTGGGATACATTGGGTTGAGTTACATTAGGATAGGTTACAGTTCGTTAGGCTAGGCGTATTTGAAGAGTCGCGCTGACGTCAAGAGGTACACACTTTTCTCAGGTTTTAGATCCGACTCTATATCTGAGTTATATACACAGCAAAAAAAAAAAAAAAACATCGGCGATATGAACCTGGTGTTGGTTCCAGGGTTCAACGTCCCTGCGGCCCGGTCTCTGACCATGCCTCGTGGTTGCTAGTTTGGTCAACCAGGCTGTTCGACACAACTGCTCACCCGAAGAAGGAATTACAAAAATTATAATCACACTGAAAATATTGTCAGACATATTCTCAATGGATTTAAACTGGATAAATTTGTATTTATAAATTCAACATGTAAGAATTAGTTTAACTGGAAAGCGGAGGATGGGTGGAGTAAACGGCAACTGGCCATTATTGCAACCCATCTTGGGGCCAAGTCCATTCTATCCAGCGGTCGACCCCAAAGACGCATTCAACAATTTTAACACTGTTCATTCAAAACAAAAACTTTTCTGAAATATAAATTAATATTATATCCTTCCCTCGTCCTGAATTTACCAAAATATATAATTGTGCATATTTAGGCACTGGTTAGGTGTTTAGGTTCTGTTGGCGATTATTTGTTTTTGTAGTTCGTTGGTGAAGTATTTAGTAAAAGCGTTGTTATTCGAACAAAATTCGTCAGTGAAGCATTTGTTGCGGAAGTGTTCGAACGTCATCAGTTTTGAGTCGTGTGTAAACCATTTTTTATTCATAAACAGGGGGTTTGGCGGGTGGATGGAATCACTTTTGGGTCTTTGTTTAGAGGACGGGCTGGGTATTTGTCACCCAGTTTGTCAAAAAAGTGATATCACATATTAACTGAATTTTTAATGTACTTTTGTATTCAAGTTTCACAGTGTTTGGCAGAATAAACATAATTCACATTCAAAGCACATTGTTCTAAGCGAAACACCTCGATGTCATCATCTTCGTATAGTCCAATTAACAACACAGACTTACATTAACAGTATCCATCACATAAGACTACAACGACACCTTTTTGCCTTGGCACAATCACGAGAGTATTAAGACAATAAATAATAATAAAAAAAAAACATTGAAAATATACAGGGAACTCCTCCCATACAAAGTATCTATACCCGTACATCAACGAAAGAAAAAATCTACTCACAGATGTCATCAACTCCGTCCTGGTGACCTAGAGGATGATAGTTTCATCAACGAGAGCCCCACAGGTCCGGAGTTGAGAGTTGCACCCAGACCAGGCAACACATGTCTGTCTGCCTCAACAGTCACTCTGCAACTGGTGTTTCTCTTCTCCTACGTCCTCCTATTTTGCCTCGGTTACTGAATTAATTCCTCTTATTGTATTATTACTGCATTAATTACGCAACTGTTTCCATATTAATGCATTAATTATGTACCTGTTCCCTTATTAATTTAATGTATATATTACTTTTTAATATCGCATTGCTGCATTAATTCTACTTATATGCCCCCCCAACAATTGATTACGGCAATTCCCTTATTACTATAGATTGCATAATTCCTACTTCATTATTAATGGATTAATTACATTATTATTTTATAACTGCTGAAATAAATTTTTGTATCGTATTACTGTGTTAATTCTAAAGTTATCCTATTAGTACCGAGTTAATTATTATTATTAATAAATTGTATCACTACTAATTATGCTCCTATTCCATTAAAGTTATATTCTCTCAAGAATATATCGAGACTTCGATATAAGCCTAACTTGTATGAATACACTCTGGCTACATAACCGGGAAGGCTATGTAGCAAGGACGGAGGGGAAGGAATGGTGCCCAACCACTTGGACGGTCGGGTATTGAACGCCGACCTGCATGAAGAGAGACCATCGCTCTACCATCCAGCCCAAGTGGTTGAGAGGAGCCTATGCTACGTTTTCCAACTTCAAAATTACTTTTTAATTCCATGGACGACGAAATATTGTGATTCTCAACAAGCACATCAATATACTGGAAAAGGGTGTCAAGACATGCAAATAATTATTAATGACTTCCGGGACTAAAAAAAAGAAAAGCTAAGAGGAAGGGAACTATGAGGACAAAGCGTCAAGCCATTACGACTATATAGCACTTAGAAGGGGTTAGGATTGATGGGACGGGGGTAAGGAATGGTGCCCAACCACTTGGACGGTCGGGAATTGAACGCCGACTTGCATAAAGCGAGACCGTGGCTCTACCGTCCAGCCCAGCTAAGAGAAGAGGCAAGACAAAGAGGCGATATGATCACTACATACAAAATAATAACAGGAATCGACAAAAGGAAATTCAACGAAATTTCAAAGGAATTCTTGAAACCTGCAACTTCATGAACATGTCTTGGACGCAAGCTAAAGAAACAAATCTGCAGAAAAGTTTTTTTTTAAACAGCGTGGCAGATGGAACGAGTTAAATGAGGCGGTGGAGGCCAATACTGTCAGTAGCTTCATATGACCAGACTGGACACCACGAGCATAGCTCTCATCCTGTAACTACACTTAGGTAATTACACACACACACACACACTTCAGTTTCAAGTGTAGATATGATAGAGCCCAGTAGGCTCAGGAACCTGTACACCAGTTGAGAGGCGGGACCAAAGAGCCAGAGCTCAACCCCAGCAAGCACACATGGATGAGTACACACACACACATATTCACCCCCCCCTACCCTAACTAACCCAATTAGGCTACTAATCGATCAGACGAAAGGCATACTATACGTTTTCTCATTAACGTTGCAAAATAAATTACACGAAGAACAGTCTAAAATACATTTATATTTTATTAACACAGTTTGACCTAAAATTATTGGAATTTTGCACCATGGATCTGTATACACCTTCAAATCATCCTCCAGGTAGGTGTCGCCCTCCACGTGAATCCTTAACTTTTTGGGAGGGCATTTTTCCATGCCTATGTACTTTAGGAATAACCTAGAAATACCCGAAATAATTGCGCCACTATCAATTAACATTTCAGCGCTCCCATATTTGTATTCCGTAGAAGCTGGAAGCTTCATTCTAAGATAAGGCGCCTTGGAATCGCTACACCCAAAAGTTTCCTTCTTGCATCCCGATTTATTGAAATATAGAAACGCTCTGTCTTTGCGGAATTTTTGTATTACTTGGTATTCTCTCATCAGAGGAAAACTAAAGTAAAATACAGGTATGTGAGTATACTTGTAGTAATTATCCATTTCAACTGGGAAAATATTAACGTCAGCAAGCAGTTCTTTTCTGTTTTATAACTGGATTTTAACATTTTTAACTATCCTAATGTTCAGATTTTTGGAGCCGTCTCCAAAGTTGTGTCTGATGAGTCTGGTGGAGTGGATATTCTTATCTAATCCCAGCTGACGTGCCAGTCTATCTTCTATAGCATTGCTCATGGCCCCGGAGTCCACAAACATGGTACATCCTCTCTTGTCCGCTATTACCGGAAGGAAGTTATGTTTAATGAGATGTACTCTATCAAAGTCCTTCAGTGATGGCGGATGGCAGAGTACAGGTGCAGAGTCCAGGTACAAGGTCAGTACCTGGCCGTCTGGGCTCACCTCGTACCCGGCTGTACTTTTACCCTCATCCTTCCCTTCACCTGTTCCGTTAAGGATGTCATTCTTTCCCGTTCCGTTACAGCTGTCCTTCCCTCCAGCTTCTTCAGAGCAGCCTTTCCATCTTTTCCCGGATCCCGTGTTGACCTGACTCTCGCTTTCCTTTCTCTTCACGCCTCTTCCATTTAATGGACTCTCCTTCGTAACATTCCTCTAGTGTTTGCTGACCATCATTCTGCTTATTAGACTCCCCATGGTATAACTCACAAAGGTGTGTGTGGTCTGCTGGACTGCAACAGACACGTCCGTCACCAACTCTTCCCGAGTGAACACTGACCAGTCTCTAGGTTTGTTACATAGTCGTGATGACCAGAATATAGTCAGGGGCTTTGTCCTCTCCAATTGCATATATATATATATATACATTTTTAAAGCTCTAATTTCAATTCCTTATTTGTTAAACTATATTTAGTGATATGTACATAAAGATTAATGTTTTTTTAATTAATGATTGAAATATTTTAGTATTTTATTTAGAAAAATATTAATGTTAGGCTTTGTTTTGAAGACTGAACTAAGTGCGAGAAAGTGCAACCCCTTTCAAGCAGTTCCAACAACGCGCGCCACATTTGAAGCATAACACGTAAATACAATTATTAATTCCTTGTGCAAAGAAATTTATAATATATGTAACTACATTATTTTTGTTAATACAAATACAAATTTAAATTATTTAAGAGGATCAGCAGAATATTAATATTTGTAGCCTGTGTACATATATATGAACATACTTAAACACACAGACCACTAGTATGCGACTGAATAACTGGCTTAATTAGATGGACATACGCAGAATTAGCTGCACTATAACTTGCCACTAACACATTAAAATACAGCTCATAACTCTCAGTTCTGGGGCTAATCTGATGGCATACTTCTGCTACAATGTGGTTTCAAGGGACAGTTTGTCCCTGGAGGTAATGGATTTTCTTTGACGACAGACTCAAGGAAACATACCCAACTATTTGTCCTGCAACCCGGGTCCCTTAATTGCGAGCCAAGAACATAACACAATGAGCTACATGTACAGGGGTCCACGCCGGGAGCCGGTCGGCCGAGCGGACAGAACGCTGGACTTGTGATCCTGTAGTCCCGGGTTCAATCCCAGGCGCCGGCGAGAAACAATGGGCAGAGTTTCTTTCACCCTATGCTCCTGTTACCTAGCAGTAAAATAGGTACCTAGGTGTTAGCCAGCTGTCACGGGCTGCTTCCTGGGGGTGGAGGCCTGGTCGAGGACCGGGCCGCGGGGACACTAAAGCCCCGAAATTATCTCAAGATAACCTCAAGATGCTAGTGAACTGACGTTATTGCTGGTGCCATACAAAGATTATTCCCCTATTGTCATTAAATTTATTATACAATTTTGTATTTTATTATGTTGCTTAGCATTTGCCTTTCTTAATTTACCAATTAATGTGGATACCTATGTCCAGTGTTCGATCCATTCCACTGCAATTATGCCTATTCCTTTTGCTTCCTAAACCTGTTTTTAGTGCTGACAATTGGCAGCTGCTTTAGTTGTGGTTAAATCATGTGGAATTATTTCTCCAATGTTTCAGGTGCTTTTTACTGAAGGCGTCCTAAACATCTGGGGAAGACCAGTTGGCCACATCCCCAAGCAAGAGTTGACAGAGGGAACCAATTAAATTCATCAAAATATATAAAAAATAAAACATATACTTTAGCTGGATAAAAGTAATTACTTTGGTAAAAGGCAGGTTAATTAAACACTGTTACCAACGTGTGTATATTTCTCCTGTCCAGTTATAAAAGCAGGTGGCAAAGTGGTTAAACTTGCACATATCAACATGAAAGGGAGGGGACACATCACAACTGATTACTGTTGCTGCTGGTACACCTTTACTTAATTCCTGTTCCCACTATTTGGTCATACTCTGCCAATATGCTTGGTGATCTTGTCCAATCTATTCTTTTCACTAGAGTATATCGAGTGCCGAACCAATGGCATTACTGTGCTAGTAGATGGAATAAGTTTCGAGTTATACCCACAAAAATATTTACTGTAACTACTGTAACATTTGGATTTAACATCACAAAGGAGGGTTTCAGAACCACTATTTTATTTAAATATATATCACTCATTAATTTGTGTTCTGAGAGAGAAAGAGAGAGGAGAGAGAGAAGGGAAAGAGGAGAGAGAGGAGGGAAGGAGAGGAGAGAGAGGAGGGAAAGAGAGGAGAGAGAGGAGGGAAAGAGAGGAGAGAGAGAATAACCGAGGATAAATCAAACAAACGCACAGTATTACCGAGCACAGGTGCATAACTATTCTAACATACAGCAAAGTAATGCTTGGTTAAAATTACCTTGCTAGTAAAATGCACATTCAGGTGCTCGTCTGATATATTAATAATGGTTAATAGCACAGTAGCTAAAACTGCTCAAGCATTTAGTTGAATGCCTTTTTAGCTATATTTTTTAACATATCTGTGTTTTAGCAATGAGTAAACTGCAATATTACTTGTCAGAATGTTTTGACAAGAAATTGTATACTTGTACCAATTTCACATTACAGGCAAGTTGTGGAATTCCACTCAATTTACATAAAGAGAATTTCCCAAACATGTGCAACACTATTTATGAAGTCTTCAAATCAGGATAGCATTGCAAGTAAATTATTGTAAATACGAGATAAAAAGCTTCAGAAACTGAGCAAATATAATGAACATTTCAAGATTCAAAATATTATGTAAAAACGTCATTACTATGGTTTCACTGTACAATTGGTTTTAGTTCTTCAAAACTATGAGAAGAGGCACTTGTGTAGCAGCAGAGGCAGTACATATTGGGCACTTAACCCAAACACTGGTGCAATTGCTGTCTGATTTCCTCTGGTGTACAAATCTCCATATGCAATCGATTCTTACTGGTTTTCAATGCTTTTTTTTCGATGCACACCATGATGTAGGGCTCAAAATAGCTTAGCAATTAAAGGGTTAAATGCTGACCAAGAGAATGTTGTTTCTTGGCTGGTTATCATTGGTAAATTTTGGTAGAAAAACATAGCAGCATACGAAATATTCTCTTTACAGGACAAGAACCGAGATCCCCACACCACTTGTGGAAAAATATTAGATTCTCCAACACAATTTTTGGTTCCCAATCACCCTTCTGGTCTTAATATAAAATGTGTGTCAAGAATTTGTTGCAGGTTTTATTTTTTCATATAAAGCTTTTAAATGTACATATTCTTCTGGAAATGATCAACTATCCATAACAGAATCAGTTGACATGCTTGATGGCTGTAAATTAAAAGTAACCATATGGTAAGTGCAAGTTACACAGAGTTATATACCTGGCACACACTTTTTGAATTATGAAATTTGAAATGCTATGTTTAAGATGTAAGAATGTACTACAACCTGTTTAAATTATTACACTACATCAAAACTGGTGAAAACGTCAGAGATCCATAATGCTTCTGGGTGCTACACACACACACACACACACACAAACCTGAAACAACTGAATATTGAATGGATAAAATTTTGTGTAGCTTAACCCTTGAAATGCACATACGTATCTTAAAACCAACCAATGATGTACGTATCTTCCCAAGATGCCTTAGCTACTTGCAACATATTATGCCCCTGCGGGTATTGAGGGTTCCCAATCGGTATTTGAGGTTTTCAGTAAACATCTGCCATCTTGACAAATTATTTTTGTTCTTTTTACACTTTTCCTATACTCAGCATGATAACAATAAAGACAAAAAAGAAATTGCTTCAATTTTTTGGGGGGCACAGAATTAATGCTCAATTTATCCTATGTGCATTTCAAGGATTAAAATTGAACTATCATAACCAAAGAATAATACACAAAAATTTTACAAATACTTATGTATACTCATGAAAATTCACATGTTGTGTGAAGTTCCAAAATAAAAGAAATAATGCAGTACTTCTATACTGTGGTCATACAGAAGCTAATGATTCACAGGATATACAACTCTAAGGCATCACAAGTAAACAATTAAAAAGCAGCTGTATTTTACAAGTATGGAGAACACATTTACCATGGAACTCCAGTATCTGCCTCTAAACATTATTAGTACTGTACTGTATTTGGCCTCTCAATTCTTTTCTAAACATTGCTAGGCTAATAACATTGATGGTCTAAATATCACACATTCCGCAAAATCTTTTCTTTTACGGTATTACTTCTAGATCACCAAAGCCTACAGTATTTTAGAATTAAAAATTGAATGAAATCTATAATACAAAAAAAAAAAAAAAAAAAAAAAAAAAAAAAAAAAAAAAAAAAAAAAAAAAAAAAAAAAAAAAAATGGCACACCTTATTCTGTATATGTATTTAGGAACAGTTGCTTAAATGATATGCTAACATATGCTACTTTACCTAATAGCATCATAAATTTATACACGTCAAGTGGTTGCCCAATATCTGTGTGAATTACTACAGACCAGTTCGGACTCTTCTTCAATCTAAATACAGTAGCAATTACTTTATTGGTACTGCACAGCATTTTTCTTTAAATTGCTGAAATATACTTATTGTTTCCATATTTGGAACATTTGGAATAAATCTGATAAGTAAATACCTTTTATATGACAGTCTTACATAACATTAGGCACAAAATAAATGGCCCAAGTAGGTCAATAAACAAATGCCCTTCAGTACACTTAAATTAATCTTCTGCAGGAATTTTTACAGTTCCAAAATGAACAAAGCAGTTGTCACAAATGATTTTCAAAGACAGTATGGCATGTTGATATATAAATAAATAAATTATAAATATATATATATATATATATATATATATATATATATATATATATATATATATATATATATATATATATATATATATATATATATATATATTTATTTATTTTACTGGTTTAAGAGGATTAAAGGCACAAGATCAATAGGATCAAGTAATTATCAAAAGAAGGCGCCAAGCCGGGGAGACTGTGTAGATTAATAAAACCAAAGTTATGACTATTGAACCATGTTATAAAAAACGGTTGACTTTTACTCAGGACTGCAATGAGTGCAAATCATCCAAAGCTACAGTGTAGCGCCTGCAAGAATGTTGCCACAACATGAGCTTCTCTTAACACTGTTATACTTTCCGAAACAGAATGTACCAACATCGAGTACATCTACCACCAATCTGTGCCATTTTGTTATGGGGGAAGGCTCTTTTTAGCCATTACAAGACTGCACGCATAAATCCAACATGTATTTTTCTGATATCTGTCTGGTATTTAATAATGCCAGACATTTGACAGCAAAACTGCAATGTATCAACTACCAGACCACAAAATGCTTAACAATAATGGCATGAACATTCAAGTTACTCTGCAAAATCTATGTATCTCTTGTCACACTTTGGTACTGCATATGCTGGAAGTTGTCCTCTTATTACTTTCGTGCATGCAATACCTCCCAATTCTCATTATAACAGTATCTCCCAATTCTCATTATAGCAATATCTCCCAATTCTCATTATAATCATAATTCTTGTTAAACAGCTCTACACATACTGAACCACTATTTTCTCAGTTCCATACACTATTTGGGAGGTTCATGTGTTCAACATAGTCTGTGAAAAATACAGCCCATATTCTTGGAGATGAACCAAATGATAAAAGCCAGCCAGTACTTATGAACAACACTCAAAATATCATATTCATCAAAATTCAAAGCTTCAAAATGCTTGAGCAAACTTCTACCATGTGTGATGGAAATGGCCAGATTTACTTGCAACTTCCAAAATCTGAACAACTATTAATCCTGATTCCCACTGTGGAAAGACATTAAGACAGCAATGTTACAACAGATTACTGCATGACAATACAGTACAACAACAGTCCATAAGACATACAGTATAGTACTGCCAGGCAAGAGGCATTTAGACTCGGCAATGAGCAGCAGAGTAGTCATTGAGAATGCCAAGACTCACAGTCTAGACTATTTGTATTTCCCTTCCTATTCTCCCCACATTGAGAAAAGCATCTCAAACCGATTAGACAGACACTCCCTTGTCTTGTTACAAAAGACTAAAACGATGCAGCATAGAACTTATTCAGCGAGAAATGAAGTTCAGGGTGCCCAGGGGGAGGCACACCTGAACCATTGCTCTCAGATGAAAACACAGTATATACTAATGACAAAAGCTCTTCAAACATCAAAGTCACTAGTATTTACACCACAGAAATTACTTGGGCCCAGACATTCTTAAACAATATTACGGTGCAACAAGATGTACCAGACAAAATAATACAGAAGTCATATTTGCTTTTTTTTTGTCAAGGGTTTTGATTATACTTTCCTGGTCACTAAATATGCAACTGCTATTTAATGTTCATGTGTGTTTGTGAAAAAAAATATTATATTATATATATATATATATAATTAAAAAAAGTAATAACTGAATAAATTATATGCTTCATCAGGTATTTCCACATTTACATAAATTACCAATAAACATTAAACAAAACATTTTGGCATGAATGTTTGTGTACAGTATAAACCATGTTACATGCACCTATGCATTCTCAAGCATCATTTATCTTAGTGGGTTAGATGCATTTAACATACATCCCATATGAACAGTATCATCTAAAATAAAATAATTATAATAAATCTGTGGTGACTAGTAAGAAATATACCCCAAAAAATATAAATAGGCCATGCATAAAGGACCCAGGAAGAGGTACTGTAGCTGTAGCTGCTACTATACTTCCTATGGCACTTATACTTCTGAACCCTTTACAAAATTAATTTTACGCGTGGAAAGCTATGGTCCAAGTCATGACAAAAGTTAGAACACATTCCATTTGCATACACCTTGCATTTTTTTAAATTGGCTCTGGAACATTCAAACTACACGAGATGCTATTTAACCTAGTTTGTTACCTCGGCAAAAGTAACGGCAACTACAGTGATCACCAAAAGTACACACCAAATACCGTGTTGATCCATGTATTCTATTTCAATTGTGCAAAAATATTGTTACAAATTCTTCCTCTAAGCACCTAGAACCTGTTGTTCAAGGTAATGCGACTACAATGGATTTCATTTTCTCCACTCTTCCCTTGGACAAAATATACAAAGCCGAAAGAAAATAGAGATGCATCCTAGACTAGGCTTAGTGCAACATCACGAGTTCTTTGTGCCAGGTACAGCAAAAGCTATCCAGTTTCAAAGAGAAAACAACGAGTAGAAATCCATTGAAGTTTCAGTATTAAAGGGTTAATACACACGCAAGGCTCTGTTTAGGCTGGTACCACAAAAAATCTTGCACTCAAGTTTAAGGACACTGAACACCCATTCATGATCAAGATGACTAGCAACCATCTAAGGTCACGAGAGTTCAAGCTACATATACTGATGTGGAAGCAGCCATGTCAGTGTAGTAGCCCAAACATAGGAGCCTGCACACAAGCAAAGGTGAGGACCTACCCACACACATATCTACTGTGAGGCTGCACAACACACATGAAAAAAAGACACTTCTCCCTGCTATTATTGGGAGTCCAAGATATGAATGGTGTCCATTCTCGTTAAATTCGGCTACTGGTAAAACTATCACAGTTAATTAGCATTGCTCTACTTAAAATATGACTTCTCAATGTTAAGTTTTTCAAACATATCAAATTTACTATACATTCATTTATATATAATTTGTTATATTTACAAAATAAAAAATATGAAAGCATCTTTGCAAAGCAGTTCAAAAATTACAAATGTGCTTAAAATAGATATGATGATATTGCCTCAAGTGAAGATGATGATGAAGCTAGCATGTCGAGAAGAACATTGGTAGTTTGAGCCACATGAGAATTATGCAAATGTTCGACAAGAACGATTAATTGATAAACACAGCACCGCGGATCGGTCAGAGGAAGGAGGGCAGCGCACCAATGGGCTGAGGAAGGAATAAGGCGACAGGCAAGTTGATGGACCCACACTAAAATTTACAAAACAAGAAACTGGACAGTCACAGGAAGATTGCTTTAGGTGAACAGAATCAAAGGAAATGTACAGTATGGTGCTTGTAAATTGTATTTTTAGCTTTTCCATGCAATGAAAAATATATGCGTCCATTTCTTTTTTGAGCATTAATCTAATGTGCGACAAAACTTACCGCGAAGGGAAAAATTATTAATTTCAACCAGTAATTAAGACAAAGGGCTTTAATGCATGCCAAAAGCCCTGACAGAGTGGCCCCTTTAATGCAAGCAGCACGTTATAGCCCAGGCCAATTCAAAATACCTTAATCGATAACCATTCTATAAAGATACACTACCTGGAGATACAACAAAACAGAATAACCATGATAATTATATAAACTTCCTATTCATACACTGACCCAAATGTGGATTACTGTACAGGCACCCACAAAGATTAAAACAGTGATCACAAGAAACTGCAAGAAAAGGAAGAAAGTGATGAGCATAAACAAAGATCTCCTCACTATCCCCAGCCCACCAGTATCAAAAAGCTATAAAAAGGAGCAGTGCTAAGGACTAGGGTTCCAAAAATATCCCTAGCCATCAACTAAATCAAATACCGCGACTAAGATAATTAGGAACATCGTGGTCCTAATGGTTTTTGTATCATTGAGTGGATATGAAACCACCTTTGTAGTGGAGCTCCACAAAGGTGATGAAGCGGCATCAACTTCACGAAAAATGATGCTCGTCTAGCACATTCTCGTTGCCAAAACAACAAAAATTCTACACTCCCAACATTTTTGGCTACACCTCATAAAAATATCAGTACGAAGACTAATCCACCGATAATTACACGTACAAATAACATTAATGGAGATAGATATTTATTTACGTACGTATATACGCACAAATGTATGTGTGTAATGTGTACTGAAGACATGTTAGCGATACTAACCCTTTACTTGGCGAGCTATTTTAATCAACAAAATAATGCAATTAGACACTGTAGTAAGGAACTCAACTGCTCTAACAATGACACCAAATTTCTTACACAAGTAACCAAAATGAGGATAGTGCCCTCTTCCACTCATAAGAGCAGTTCTGAACCAGTCTAGCACTAACTTTTCTTGTTAACTTTGAGAACTGATGCAAGGCTCTCCAAACAACACTTATAGGCATGGTAATAGCTTATCGTGAGGAGTATATTTATCTCATAGATATGTGAAAAACAGTCATCATCATTTAAGGCCAAGTCTTTGTTCAAGATGATATTACACCCTGAACAAGCCTTTCCAAGCCTATTCTACAATTAACGAAGACTAGAAAGTGTTTTATCCAGATAAACCATCACCACCTTCAATAAAGATCTGTCCATATATAGTACAATTTTGTCTTCACATATGGTGTCCATGATGACAGTTCACACCAACCGTAATAGACCCCTGCATCAATGTTGAGAAATATGCTTGTGTGCATAAAAGCTTATACGAAGCATATAGATACAGAAGTGATGTTTTACCTAGGAATCGGGCAGTAAAAGTTGACAAGCAAGTCCCCACCAACCCTGTCTAATTTTAATAGTAACATGGAAACAAAGGATGTTAATTAATTAATAAGTAGCTCATAAAATAAGGAATATATAAAGAAGTGTGTTTTTCATATTATATATACCTGTATATTATATATTAAATATATATATATATATATTTATATATATATTACAACATACATATATGCACATACACAGTATATTAAATAAAAATTAGTTCGTGAAAGTAATCTGAAAATCATTTATTTGTGAAGTTAAACAAATCCAAACACATCGTGAGCAACACTTCATTATAAGCCAGCATTTGCAACTCTCACCGAGTTGAAGCTTAATCACTACTGTATCATTTTACAAAAAGTGTCTACTAAGTTCTTCAGAGAGTTCCCTCACACACACACACACACACACAAACACTGCTAAATGCTTCGCAGTTACACATACCACAAAAAAATTCCTTGCACATACCCAACTGCCAATGGCATAAAATACAATTTGAGAAAATCTATCACGGTTTATGGGATTTTAAATGTCCTGCACAAGTGGCGGCACATTAAAAAAAAGTCCCAAAGAGCAGTCCCATGCTGGCCTCGGGGAAACAAAGCTAGCCATACTGTAACGATATGATACATCCGTCTTATAATGGATTCAGATCCCCAAATTTCAAGGCAAATTCAACGTATTACACATCTTTCTATTCATAAATGTTAAGAGAAGTATTAGGAATCGCTTTTTGAAGCAATTAAGATGTATGCATTAGCTTTAAGCCAGTGAATAAAATCCATAGCCAAGTTGGCAACTGGTACAGGCATTTCCCATACTGTAATTTATTAATGGATATGTTTGATATTATTATTAGTGAGTTACTTTTAAAAGAAATGTAACCTAGTATATAAAGCTGGCATGTGATAAGTCAAAATCTTACCTTACACAGCAAGACAATGAAAATGTTTTTTTTTCTATGTTCAACTGAATGACCAAATATCAGTCCTGCCATATAATTCCCAGCGATGAAGACAGGAAGCCTGTACTTAGGCTTATCAAGGTCCCCCCTACAGGCCAACTGCTGACCTTCCCCAGGATGCAACCCACAACAGCTGCCTAACTCCTGGGTACCTATTTACTGCTAGGTGAACAGAGGCATCAAGTGAAAGGAAACGTACCCATCCCGGAGATCACACCCGAGATCCTTGATTGCGAGTTGAGGCCGTACACCACTGTACTACAGAACTCCACATGTATCCTCTCAGGAATGGAACAAACTCAAACGTCAACAGTGCTATTCTGAGACTCTCGTCTGGTTTACATTTCTTACTACATACCTTACAGATGAGGTCACTCGAGGAATGCATCACAGTAGGCCACCAGCCGATGGCTTGGAGCGGGTGCCTGTAGCAACAGTCTTTACCACATACCGAGACTGTTATTAATCTTCCCACGAGAACTTTAGTCTAGAACAGATACAGTGTGGTAGCCATTAAGACGCGCGCACACACACACCCGAGAGGATAAAAGACACAAATGAGCACAGCCCCAAAGTAAGTCAATAAACTGATAAATCAAGTTCAAAACTGGGCATGAATGGTTACACCATGGAAATTCTGAAAGGTAATAGTAAGGAAATAAGGAATTTTGAGACTGTATTATGCAACCAGCAAAGACTCATACCTCTACTTTCATGCTTTAAACAGCAAAGAAAATACAGTATTGTAATTGTTCTTCAAAACTCACCATCTCTGCTTAAAAGAGAAATCTTAAAATTTTAGTTTTTTTTTTTTTTAATATCTATCCTATTTGTTGATAGTTTAATACAGGTATTAGTGCAATATTTTCTAAAGGAAATTATAAAAACAATGCAAAAATGTACCCCCTCTCCCCCCAACTAACATGGAAGGTAAAATATTATTTCCCCATTTCTCTTAAAATAAGGTATATAAATCTCCTATAATAAAAAAAAAATTATATCCCACACTGTATATTATTTTATATACACAATTCTTTATATTCATTGAGTCTTTTGACAACATAAAATGAATACTTCTTGCTCTCCTTAATAGAGATCACACCAAAATCAAAATTTCTCTCATCTGAAAAAAAAACTATGTGACCCAATTTATTCTTGTTACTTATACTGTATTAAATTCATGGCAGATACAAAAAAAATGACTTTACGCATAAAAATCCTATACTGGATTCAGAGGATTACATAAGATATAAAGTTTTGAGGTTTGTCATGTGTAATAACCAAGTATCTAGCTTTCTAACAGAAATAAGTTAATACATATGTTTATTCCAAACCTGAGAGTATACAATTTCACTTCCTTACATTCTACATTTGGTCTGTTCCTATGATAGTAAAATACCCAATGTTTCAAAACCTCGTCACCATCTCGAGAATCGACTTCCAGTCGTGTCAAAAATGGATTTGATAGTACTTCCGTGTATCCATTGTGAAACATCCCACGCGTACATAAAATACAATACTTCTATAATATACTTGGTCTTTGTTTATCATATCCTACTTCTCATTTTTGATTCTAAGGAATACTGCATCGCTTGCACGACACTGCTCCTGTGGTCTCAGTCCCTCTTCTGAGCCCACTTAAAATCATCAGCACGGGGTTTGTAGCCCAACACCATTTGAATCAACCACTCTAGAGAGGTCCAAAACCTGAGTTTCTCAAGGGGGTAATTCAGCCAGCCAGTTGTTATGCAAAAATACGTCTCGTGGGGTGCCACGTGGTGGATGCGGTGGTGACGCTTGGGCAGGATGATATGCAGGTCCTGAGAAAAGAGGAAAATAATCGGTACAGTAAATTCCTGCAACAATGGAGCTCGGTTAAAAACAAACAAAATCAGATACAATGGAAGAATTCTGAATGCACAATCGAGACAAGGGAATTGGTCTGAAATTCAACAATACCTACTGCACAAAAACATTAACTTGCACAAACACTTGACAATTTTTTGTGCACATCAACTAGGCAAATGCTCCAACTTTGTCTAAATGATCACAGCATAACTTGAAAAACCAGAGAATCAAAATTAATTTTAAAAATTAATATTGAAAACTTCAGATATTCAATTCAGAATAAAAAATATGATAATTAATTGTTCATATAATGTTATTATTCTCTCAGAATAGCATATGATCTTCATTAAATTAGAATATAGGTTTTTAGTATAGTTTTCTGTAAAAAATTCATCAATAGGACATTTGAAATATGTGGCAAATTTAGATCAAAACTCCAAATGTATAAAGTTTATGAAAAATCCATTCTGATGGGATTGAAGAATAGACAGCAGAGCACACAATATATCAAAATAGTGAGAATCCGTTAATAACTGGAATTTTAGAAGCCACTCAAAGTTGAAACTCTGGTTTCAGAGATAATTGAAGTTATCAAAAATGAATAAAGGTAGTTTTAATTCATTAATTTAATTGTATGTTTTAATAAATATGGTTTGGCATTTGTACTCGAATATATGAAAGTTGTAGGTCAATGTGTGTTGAAATGAAGTCAAGAAAAAATAACCCAAAACACACAAAATATAGGGCTAATTATAATAAAGATAAGGATTTAGGGGATATATTTAGGGTTTCCTTCATATAAGTGAAAAAGCCCTAATATGGTCCCTAATCATCAAAACAACCTAAAGAGACAAAGACAATAGAGTTTGAAATCAGAGAAATCAGGAAAAAAAAAAAAAAAAAAAAAAAAAATTAAGTCCCAAGTTTTGCTAGTTGTGACTGACTTATTTGTTGACCTATTTCATTCTATCTCCACATAGCTATGAAAACATATGCATTCTCCAGGATGTAAAGGTTAAAACAAAATCAGACAATAAAAAGAAAAAATAACTAAAATCTTAAAAAAAAAAAATTCCCCTAAAAAAAAATATTTTTTGGGACATTGATGAAAGTGACATATATTAACATTGGACAATGTATTTATATGATATGTAACAAAATAGATCATATTCACCGTGACAGTGAATACCAGCATTATCCTCACTTTAATAAGACTATCAAAATCCTCAGATTAGGCAAAATTGTAATTAATTTTGTCAATAAAGATGTTAATAATAATAATAATAATGTCAAAATGTTTCCAAACTCAACTATTTTCATTTTAAAACACAGAGTGATGAAAGCATTAAAAAATATTAAAATATAGCTTAATTAAAAAAAAAAACTCAGAACAACTGTTGTTGGCTGGCGCAGTTAAGGGGTTAAGCTATCTTGTTGAAATTGTTCCATACTAAAAGGTCAAATCAGTCACAGAAGTTCTGTTTAGTCTACCAGGGACCAGAGTCAGAACCTGGGCCTCCTGAGGGGCAGCGAACAAGGACAATCTGCCATCCCACTGGAAAAAGCTTCCAGAAAGTCAGCAAAATGTTACAGACAACAGGAGGGGTACAGAGAAAATGGAAGCTTAGAAATTGTCAAGCAAGCCTGCAAATGATTCACACAGAGCAAGGAATACACACAGACTAGCTCTAAACGCTTTAGCACCAAATACCGGCACTATCCCTCGGCTAGCTACCACCTGGTCAATTCTGTCGTTGATGAGGCAGCATGTGGATGTGGAAAGTGTTCTGGTCTGTCAGTTATGGGCAACTACTGCCACTTCAAGCAAAGTGCCAATCATCCTTGGAGATTGTTTGTCCTGCAGGGGCCACTAACTTCTTGTATTCTTTCTTATTTTGGACGTTGCTCCACATGCACACTTGTGTTCCACCTCATCGTGTGGGCTTAACTCTTGTGTTTCAGACTGCATGCTCTTGGGATGTTTTTTCCTGGGTTCCCGCTTGCGCTGCCCTTGCATGGTTATATTACGTGTATCTGTTTGGGAGATTGCCCCTGATAGGCCAGGTCAGGTCACCAGGGCGAAGAGCCTCGCCTTGGGTTTTTGGATCTTTGATTCCTATGTTTGGCTCCTTGGCTAAGTGCATTCTTTTGGTTGTGCTAGGGGGTGCAATTACCAAAGTGTAGTTACTGGAAGAGAGCTATGCTTATGTTCCATCCTCCCAGTACTTCGCCATACAACACTTTGAAACTACTGAGAGTTTTGGGCTTTCACTTAACACATTCCAACCGTCTAGAAAGCTCACTTTTGCAACGAGTGGCAATGTTTTTTTTGGTGGTTTTGTTTCCTTAGTTTGAACCCATGTCCTTGAGGTTGCAGTTTTCTAAATTTCTTCTTTATCAATTTTGTCGAGTCTTGTTACAACTTTGTACGTAGTGATCATATCACCCTCTTTCTTGTATCTTCCAGCTTTGTTATATTTAACACCACTAACCTCTCATCGTAGCTCTTGTTTTTTAGTTCCAGACGTCATTTAGTTGCATGTCTTTGAACTTTTTCTAGTTTAGTGATGTGTGCTTGAAGACTTTGGGGCAGTCAAAATCCTCTCTCAATGCTCGAAACAAAAATACATCCCATCAAGACAGTACAGAGCAGTGATATGGTTGTACAGTAGAACCTCAATTAACGAGTTTAATCCGTTCTGGCACCTAGCTCGTCATGTGAAACGCTCATCTTTCAAAACGAAATTCCCCATTTAAAAATGGAAATAAAAATAATCCGTTCTACCACTGAAAAACATCAATATGATAAACGATTTTTAAATAATGGAGCAGCCTACCTGACATACACTGAACAAACCTTTATGACATTGTGTCTTCTTTCAGATTTGTACATTTTTTATATTTTTAATTTTTTTATAGAAAAAATGTTCGTTCAGTGTATGTCAGGTAGGATGCTCCATTACGACATTTTTCCTGTTTTCAAATTTGTTCAATTTGTTTTGTATTTGTCATGGTTTTTATTAATAATGGAGCAGCCTACCTGACAAACACCGAACGAACCTTTATGACATTTCTCCTTTTTTCAAATGTGTTAAAAACAAAAATCAATACTTTGCAACATTACAGCAGTCACCCCCCCCCCTTTACTCCCAGCATCATTAGAATCTTTAAAAAAAAAAAAAAAAAAAAAAAAAAAAAAAAGTTATTTGCATCGCCGGAGGTGTCCGAGACTTTGCGAGAACCAGCGGAAACGCACTATATTTTTCTTGTTAATGAAACGAACACTCGCCAATCGAGACAAATTGTTGGCGATCGGTGCGCTCGTTATTCAAAATGCTTGCAAAATGAGGCGCTCGTCACTCGAGGTTCCACTGTACAGTATAGGCAAAATTCCTCAACCTTCAGCAGGACCACTGTCGAAGTGGATGGGACCACCTTTAGGGAAGGCCAAGTTACATCCCAAGCAAATCCCTGATTTGACTCTAAAACCCTCAGGTGCTTCAGAGCCAGAACTGGAAAAAAAAAAAAAAAAAAAGGATTGGCTTAGACTGGGTCCAGACAGAGGTTCACAACACCTTGAATTCTGGTCCCTAAATACCATAGGGTCAACTCCAGGACATCAAATCAGAATGCTGCAAATGCCTAACTTGAAGAAACTTCACACATAAAGTTGCAGCCGGTCAATGAGCTTTCAAGCTCGAAGTTGAATCAGTCAAAGCAGAAACCCAGCAAGAGCAAATGTCACAGGGTTTAGGGACTGTGCAATGCTGTGTTACTGACCCAGTAGACAGCTTGGCAGAGGTAAAAAGAATGATCAACATCCGGTAGCAAGGATGATGAATACCAATCAAGCTCTATGTAGAGCGCCCAAGCTCGGCAAGCTGATCCATAACACACCACACCTAAGCCCAGCAAGAAATTACCAGGGGTCCCTGAAGACAGCTGGCTAACCATTACACTTGGAAACTGGGGCTGCTTGCTGAAGGAACAGATCGCCAACTGTAGCCAACACTCATAGGCTCCGTGCCATATAAGCAAGTGCATGTGCCCTAGTGCACCCCACATAACCAACAGAACATCCTCAGGTAAAGGCCAACAGAGGCGTCGGATTCATAACAACCCCAAGGCGATGCTCTCCATCCAGAAGCAACTGTCAGTGCCGGGGTTGCACTAGTGGGCACCCACAGAAGAAAACCCTGAGCACATGCAGCTCAAAGCACAAAGAAGCCAAACCAACACAAGCTGGAAAGAAAATATGTCTGTGAAGCTAATACTAAAATTGAAGAACAATACACAGGTAAATGGCCTCCCCTTCTCTTGCACGATGGATAAAGTCCAATGACAGCCAGTACTTAGTTTGAAGGAGAGGGGCTTGCCCATGACAGTCAGACCAAAGCATCACATGTAGTTTCAGACACCACAAACATCTTTGAGCAAAATGACTGGTCAGGGTAGCCGGCTGTTGGTTGGGGCCCTGGCCGAGTGGTGGCAGCTAGCAGTACTAACAAGTTCGAGCTATGTTTTGAGTGAATCTATTGTCATTTTAATCGACTCATCCTCAACTCAAGTCCGTTTTATCCAGCAGTCGACCCAACAGACGCATTCATAAACTTTAACATGCTGTTCATTCAAAACAGGAATTTTCTCAAATATAAATTAATATTATAATATACAGTATTAGCATATTGTACATAGATTTTTTATTTTTTATTTATTTATTTATATACTGTATACAGGACACGAGTTCTTACATTCTTGCACAGCCACTAGTGCACACAGCGTTTCGGGCAAGTCCTTTAAGCCTGTGTTCCCCAGAATATGACCCGCCAAATCGTTTAACAATCAAGTACCCGTTTTACTGTTGGGTAAACAGAGGCTACAGTTAAGGATTGACGCCAAGTAAATCCTCCCCGGCCAGGATATGAACCCAGGAAAAAGTGCTTGCAAAACACTAGGCGAGTGTCTTACCACTTCACCACGGGGACTGCTTAAATGACCTAACCTATATAGGCATAGGTTGGGTGTTTAGGTTCTGTTGGTGATTACTTGTATTTGTAGTACTGTACGTGGGTGAAGCATTTACAGCATAATGGTTCGAACAAAATTCGTCAGTGTAGCACTTGTTCCGGAAGTGTTTGAACATCAGCAGTCGTGAGACGTGTGTAAACCGTTTTCCATTCATAAACGGGGTTTGGCAGGTGGATGAAATCTATTTTGGGTTTTTGTTTGGAAGATGGGCTGTTTCAATTGTTTACAGTTACATAGCAATTTTGATGCTTCACTTTCTATGAACCCTCCAGTTGTTCATAAAGTAATTATCAAAACAAGGCACCAAGAGTTGTCTGTAAAGCTTTGCAGACTTTCTAGATGCTTTATCAGTTTGAGTGGCACATTATTTCTCACTCCCTGCACCTCTGAGTGGGGAGGGGAGGGGTAGACTTGGGCTCTGGTTCCCAGAAGGTAAAAAGGAACTCTGCAACTGATGTGATCCTTTAGGTGGATATCTTGGCAAGCTATCAGAAGATAGCTCCAACTTTGCTGAGCCCAAGGGTGGGGGGTGGGGGCCTTACAATAATGATAATGCACAAAGAAATCACATTGAATGTGAAGTATAACCGAGAAAATCAGTAGGAGCCATGAGAAGAATTGAAATTCATTCATAGGGTGACTATAGAGTATACAGTTGAATCCAATGTTGCAATGCTTTTACCATGTCAGGGTGTAGTGGTCTAAAGCAAGCCTGGGAGTACCCGATGCATGTGTTCGAATCCTCCTCATGGCTTCTAATGTAGAATAGAACCAGTGACGAGTAGAGGTCCACAGCTGTTCAACACCTTCTCATAAAGCATTGAGATATTGCCTAGCCTGGCAAAGGTGGAGGTATTCAAGAACACTTAAGACAGGTTCTTGCAAGAAGTGCCGGACCAACCAGGGTGTAGTGGATATGTGGGCCTGCAAGCCGCTCCAAGCAACAGCCTGTTTGACCAAGCTCTCACAAGTCGCGCCTGGCCCCAGGCTAGGCTCGAGGAGTAGAAGAACCCCCGAATTCCTCTCCAGGTATGTTCCAGGTATACTGATTTTCTCAATGTCCATAATAATAATAATAAATATTTTATTCATAAAATTTGTATACATAAGAACACAATACAGAGGTATATTTGAAAGTACAGTACAAGGGTTGCATAGTACTGTATATGAAGCCACTAATACACAAAAGTGTTTTGGGCAAAATGTAATACTGTACCAAATGAGAAGCAAGCCAACACATGCGAGATATTCAGGAAATTTAGTAATGATAATAAAAAAAGTGATACAGTAATGATGACAGGCATAGACTACTACATTACAGACTGTAGCTTTACCAACAGTACAGATAGTATTTAAAATTAGTAATAACAGCAAAAAATATATCAAGGTGAATTTTTAGTAAAGCCACTAGATCACTAAGTATTTTGGGCATAAAATAATTTTAAGTCAGTAAGAATTTGTATGGGTTTAATGGGGGTAAACCACTTTATAATATACAGGAAGCAAACATGACAAATAAATAATTTAGCAAATACTGAGCAACAATTAGGTGACAGTTAATGATGAAAGGCACAGGACTACATTTTTAGCAAATAAAGTAACAGCCCCCCCAAAAAATTTTCTGACGAGGAAATGTAACCGAAATCTGATACACGATATCAAGTACTGTATATATTTCTTAGTTTCTCTCTTAAAATGGTTAGACATATACAGCTTTTAATCACATTTGGAAGATCATTCCATGATTTGGGTTCCCTCGATTTGCATGGCATTTCTGCTGTGGTAGAGTCTTACACTAAAATTATTGAAATGAAATTTCTCTTGTATTGCTCGGGGATTGCAGTCCCCGTGGCGCAGTGGCAAAACACTCACCTGGCATTTCGCGAGCACTTTGGCCTGGGTTCGTATCCTGGCCAGGAAGGATTAACTGGGCGCTAATCCTTAACTGTAGCCTCTGTTTACCCAACAGTAAAGTGGGTACCTGGTTGTTAAACAATTTAGCGGGTTGTATTCCGGGGAATATTAGGAGTAAGGACTTGCCCGAAACACTGAGTGCTAGTGACTGTACAAGAATGTAAGAACTCTCGCTCGCTCGCTCGCTCTCGTTCGTTCGTTCTCTCTCTCGCGTGTGCGTGCGTGCGTGTGTTTTTTTTATAAAATAAATGCCATCAGTTGCAAATAATCTAGTAGCACAAGGTATCAAAACGAACAAAAAATATTAATGAAGAAAATGAAGTATTTATCATGTATGCATAAAAGTGTGTTGTATGCATTATGAATACTTCCTTATTATTATTAGTACATAGAGCACTGACCTGCAATATAGTGACCCAGCGTGGGAGACCAAAGTATGTATGAGACCACTTGTGGATCTGTAGGAAAGAGAGAATCATTATACAAGGAAACAATAATGTTAGAAATTACAAATCGTCTTGCAGTTTCAACCTTCACAATGAACCCGCAAGCAATTTTGGTTCAAAGTTCCAGGTTAATACAGCAGTCCAGACAAAATTAAAAAGAATATTTATCTATTTATAATTTTTTTTTCCTTTATACTTGACTTACTGAACTGAAGCAAAATTGCAATCTTCCTCTTCTATTGGAAACTTGAGCACTTAATTACAGTATGAAAATATGCTCAAGAAAAATTATATGAAGTTTCAAGTTAATTTGCTCCTGGCAATACAGAAGTTAAAGGGTGAAAGTCATTTGACAATTTATAATAACAGCAACACTCAACAAAATGATTCACAACACTTTATTGACTTAACTTTTGAAATATATCAAGAAAATGTAATTACAACAACTACCAAATTTTTAACCGCAATTGACTTGCCATTTTCTTCTTACAAGTCTCGATAAAAATCGAGACAACAAGACTGGTTTAACGGACGGATTAATTTACGTCAGCTTAATAAAAATGCTTTTAACTGTTTTTGTAAAATAAGTAACGCTATAACAAATGTTTTGCCAATCAATGATTCAATGGGTTAAGATTGCATTAGACTAACGCAGAACCAACGTGACAAGAGTTAACACAGCCAGTAATATACAGTATATCAGGAGCCACTAAAGACCACCAGAAAAACATAACACCAGCAATTCTCACCTGATTAGTTAATGAGACAAAAATAGCCAGGAGGTACAAGTAGGAAAACCAATAGTAATTGGCCTGAATCTGTTCATTGGTCTTGGAACAGAAATTCCAAGTCATGTACATCAGGCCTGGAATGGTGAGCATGAAGTTATCTCCATTGGTTTCTATGAAGTCATGCCGAGTGATGGAAGTTGGGTCAATGTGATGCTCTCGGAAAGGACGAATAAAGTTCTGAAAGAGACGAGGCAAATTGACTTTCAATTTAAATTAAATTAAAGTAAAACAATTTAACACTTTAGTGTTCTGATGCAGCAATAAGAAGCATCAAAATAAACCTACATCAAACCTACAATAAACCATCTGCATGTAACAAAATAAAATGACAAACATCTGTACTAACCTAAAATGATTACAGCATAAATATTCAAATATAGGACATTGCCTACCCTCCAGTGAGGTGCACTTGGGAGGTACATGCAGAGAGAACCATGAATGAGGCAGTCGATACACTAAAAGTGAATGGCAGCCACAAATTAGCCAAAAAAGTGTAAATGCAGCTAATAAACATAATGGGAACACATTAAAGTACTGTACAGTAGTATTTCCAAGTAGTCGCCAAATTTGACAGATCCAAGTCTTTTAGGAATACTAGTGATTATCTTTTGTTCAAGAATCCATTATAAATCCTATAATAATTAATGGTACAAATTTACAGAGCATTGCTATTTTTCTTATTAAATGTGAAGAAAAACAATTAATACTTGGTACAATATAGAGAAAATGGAGGAGGAAAGCAACCCACCTTGCCCAAGAGAGGGAGCTCCACAGACCCCCATGTGTCTGCTCCCCAGTGGACGAATCCAGAGGCAAAGTCTGCCGTGAAGATTCCCGCTAACGCCACCAGGCAAATTGTGGCCACCTTCTCAAACTTGAAGTGAACTGCCATGAAGTACAAGTTCACTACCATCAATGTTATGCATATGCATACACAGACTATTTCCTGCATTCGCTTCCCTGAAAGAGAGATCAACATTTATTATGTGACATAAATAAAAAAAATACACTAACTGTGAAATACATACATGTACAGTACATTGTGAAACCTATATTCTGAAACTAGTTGGGCCAAGAAATTAAATACTAAAAGTTCCCTCATTTAAGGAACTGTCCCTCATATTACTCATTTATAATGCTTGATAAAGCCAGAAATCATTTGACAACACTCAAATAACTATGAAGTACAGTCGTGTAAGGGGGCACGAGGGAGCCCAAGTACAGTCATGTAAGGGGCACGGGGGAGCCCAAGTACAGTCGTGTAAGGGCCACGAGGAAGCCCAAGTACAGTCGTGTAAGGGGCACGAGGGAGCCCAAATACAGACATAGGGGGGGGGGGGGGGGCCAAGGGAGTACATACTGTATGTGAAAGGGGGACAAAGGAGCCTGTGTAAGGGGATAAAGAAGGGCTAAGTTCAGAGGTTGAAGGGGATGAGGTGGGGGCTAAGTTTAGAGGAGTAAGGGGATAAGGGGGGCTAAGCTCAGAGGTGTTAGGAGAAGAAAGGGGGGGGGGGGGAAGGTAGCCTAAAAATTGTACAGAGAAAAACCAGCACATTATCAAGTCACAAATCATTTTAGCGAGTTCAATAAAGTATTACAAATCAGCATGTGTAACACATGCAAAGTAAAACAATACTAGATTTTTCTTTAAACCTGCATACATAAAAAAAAAAATCTTCATGGGTTTAAAAATCTTGTGAAGTTCCTGTTACATGGAAAGTCCCATATTTAGGGTCAAGAATACAACCGAGGCATGTTCTTAATAAAAAAAAACTATTACAGGATAAACATGAAATAGCAATGAATAGCAACACAGCCTTCAACTGCAGCAAGTCACAGCAAGTCACAGCAAGGCACAGCAAGGCACAGCAAGTCACAGCAAGGCACAGCAAGGCACAGCAAGGCACAGCAAGTCACAGCAAGGCACAGCAAGGCACAGCAAGGCACAGCAAGTCACAGCAAGGCAGCGTCCCATAGGTTCATGCTTGGCAGCCATCATATTGATCCACAATGACTCATCCCCTCCCCCCACTCACCTTGCATTAAGATAATGCTTCTCATTCATCTCTTCATCTTTCATAAGAATGAAAATGAACAAACCTAGGAAATGACCTCGCAAAATATATCAAAATCCCCTCTTTCTAGTGTTAATGCTTTCTACTTTATTAAAGTCAAGTTAATGCTTTTAACGACAACCCCACCCATGTACCAGTGGAATCCCCCAATGGCTGAGCATCGCCAACCATTCACAGGCTACCTGGTCACACCTAGACTAAAAAACTTTAGCACAAAAAACAACAACTGCTAATTACATTTCAAGGCTCGACCCTGGGGAAGCAGGAAATTATCTGCGAGCACGGCACAACACACCTATGTCATGCAGGCTAGTTCACTGCAGTACTTTTTGTTCATTTATGTGTTTGCCTTTCAACAAATGTAAAAAGGAAATTATATAAAATTTGTTTCTATTCATCTAGATAGGGTAACAGGTTTATTACAGGTTAATATTTTGTTCTACAAGTACAACAGAATTCACTGAACAACTTGTTCTCTTTATGGCATAAAACAGTGAGGATGATCCCCTTAGTGACATTGTTGTATTAAGCATAGGCCTATTGGTGATAGAAGTGTAAACTTGTACAAACTATAAATGGGCTGACCCAAATTAATCTCACTGATGGAATCTTTTATTCAAAGTAAGCAATGCAATGCCTTTTTAGATCAGCTGCGACACATGGTATGGAAAACTCCCCCAGTTTCTGCTCGATTTTTTTTAAATTTTACTGTAATAATGAACTAATTCTTTCTTTCACTGCATTTAAATGATGCCTGGAAATAAAATTATAGCATTCATGACCCTACCATTTACCCACAATTTTCTAGGGTATCTAGAGCTTGCTATGAAAGAGCCTACAGGAATCACAAGTAACCCAGAAGAGGTCTCCCAGCAATGGGCAGAAGCAGCAGAGGTAAGGAGACAAGCCACACCCATACAGGCAACCGATTCATTAGAATCAGCACCACCTCACCAGTAGGTTGAATATGCAGAACCAGGTTTGACCACACCATGATAGGGAGCAGGAGAGGTGGCCTTCAACTGAAATAATTGACGAGCAATTTGAAAGCCAAACATTTGGAATTAAAAATCCAATTCACGTTCTTCTTAAAATAAAAAGATCAGAAATAAAAACGACAACAATAGCAAGAGGCCAAGTGGACCTCAATGGTCCACTTGCACTAATTGGTCCAAATGGATTGAGAAAATGGCCCAATACAGCTTGCTTCCACAATCATGCCATGAAGTCAATCCTACTCCACATTTTGACGAATAGGCATGAACAACTTAGGCCAAGTTCCAGTGGCCGAGAAGGCAGATAAAATAGGAACATAACGGGAAACTGCAAAAAGTCCTATAGGCCATACAAGGTAGCTCCTATTTAGATCCAACCAAATCCCTCAAATCTAACGTACTCTTAAAAATCTAGCAATCCCACGTCAAGCATGTTATCCAGTAATTTGTTCCATAAATTAACACCCCTATTTCAAAAACAGTACAATATTTTCCCAGGTATTTTCAGAATAATTTATTTATTTATTTATTTATATATACAAGAGTTCTTACATTCTTGTACAGCCACTAGCACACACAGCATTTCAGGCAAGTCCTTAATCCTATATTCCCGGAATATGACCCCACCAAATCGTTTAACAACCAGGTACCCATTTTACTGTTGGGTAAACAGAGGCTACAGTCAAGGATTGATGCCCAGTAAATCCTCCCTGGCCAGGATACGAACCCAGGACAAAGTGCCCGTGAAAGGCCAGACGAGTTTCTTACCACTACACCACGGGGACTATGTAGATTTAATACAAATTCAATATATTCGTAGTTTCAATATAAACTTAGCCAATTTGTATTCACAGTTTCAAATTTTTAATCTGTGCAGAAATATCGAGTACTTTATTAATAAACCCCTTGTTATAAAAATAGGATGAATGGGTAAATGTAATACAGTACAATCAAGCTCCCTCTTACACTATATCAAAGCTAAATACTAAGCTATAACAACAGAATCAAAATCAACACAGCAACCAAGAAGTTATTATCTTGGAGAGAAATAAACCACGGAAAGTCTTAAAATCCAACAAAACCAGATCCGAAGGCAAAGAGCGAGCCTGCGCACACAGCTATCAAGACTTCACCATCCATTGCAAGGCAGGAGCGCGCACAGTCCCGTTCAAGAACTTCAGAGATGTTCCGAGACCTTGAATATAATGAAACGCCTCTTTCTGGTAGAGCGCCGGTGGCTTCCTGAAGCTATCTCAATGGCTCCCCCCACTACTGTGTCACACTAGTCATAGGAGTTCTGTTTGCCTTACTGGAGACCAGACCTGGCTCCCCTCTTACAGTTATGTAGGGAACAGGGGAATATTATTGGCACTGGGAAAGTGTCCAGAAATTTGGCAAGGCAATGTTCATAGAAAAAGCATCAAAATGGCCAAATGACTGTAAACAGTTCATTTCCAACAATTAGTTAATTAGCTGGAACCCATTAGTAGGTCTATTGACATTTGAATGGCAACAGTCCTGGATCAGAAACTCCAGATGCCAAGACAGAGGTTATGAAACCAGTGAGATAAATTGCCAGGCTAATCTGCTGATAAGAGGCAGAACTGTGGAATAATACCTGGGTTCAGACACCTGGCCAAAAAGAGCCAGAGACTGAGCTGACCACCAAGAGGCCAGAAGGATCACTCTTCCTGAATATGACTAGTGTAATTATCCAAGTGTAGTTACAGGATGAGAGCTACACTTTTGGTGTCCTTTCTTCCCAGCACTATCATAAAACGCTTGGAAATTGCCAATAGTTTTGGCTTTCACCACCTTCTCACCTAACTTGTTCCAAACACCCACCACTCTGTTTGCAAAAATAAATGTTTTTATATTTGTCAGCTTTATTTATTTAGTTTAAATCTATGACCTCTTGTTCTTGAAGTTACAGGTCTCAGGAATTCATGCTTATAAACTGTATCGATTCCCATTACAATTTTGTACCATTGTAATGAGGGATCATATCTCCTTTTTTTTCCATCTTCTAGTTTTGGCATATTTAATGCCTCTAACATCTCTTCGTAGCTCTTGCCTTTCAATCTGGGAGTGACTTAGTAGCATGTCTTTGCCCCTTTTCCAGTTTGTTGTTCTTTTTAAGATATGGGCACCTTACAACCACCGCATATTCCAGCTTTGGTCTAACAAAGAATGTGATCAATTTCTTTAGTATTTCACGATACGGTACATATATTTAAAAGCAATTCTGAAATTGTCAAGTGTAGCATAGGCTCCTCGCACGATGTTCTTTATGTGGTCCTCGGATAATAGTTTTCTATCTAGAAGCACCCCTAGATCTCTCTCTCTCTCTCAAAATTTGTGTGGACAACACCCAGAGCAACAACTGAACTGGGGAAAAGAGGAACCTGGTGACTTGGGCTGCTGTTTAGTGACAATGTGGCACATCACGGTTAGGGTATTTACCCAAAGGCAATGATCATTTGCCTCATGGTAACTACTTTTCTCCCAGCAGTCATTCATATTCCAAGCCACTTTTTGGCATTTTTTACAGATTTTGAGTATTGCCAATACCCAAGCTTGCCTTACCATGTCGAGTCAGACTGCCTTACCATGTTGAATCAGTCAAATCTTGTCCTGGGTTCTGGCAAGTGATAAATGGGCCTCAAAGGCCTGCATCCTGGGCTAAGGATTGTTGGCAAGAGATGGAAGCATGTGGGAGCCACCGAGGAATCTTTAGAAAAGGCGTTTCATTCCATTCATAATTTTTTTCTTTATGACTTCAAATAATGACAATGCTCTATCAAGAAACTCATGGGTACATTCCTGCTTGCATGGTCTTTATTAATGTAAATATCCAAGAATTTCCTCATCTTTCGAAAAACCTAATACCTCCTTTTTAAAACTTTTGTAGCACACTGAAACATCAAACTTATTTAGAACTAGCATTTTTTGCAGCTAGACTAATAATTTTCTCAAGTTTCTTTGGTTTTACAGCAACATTAACACATGGACACTTCCCACAAATATTTGCTGGGAATTCCTAAAGCACTATGTACAACTAAGTGAATAATAAATGTGAGACAAGCAGGTATATTAACAATTACAAAAAGCTCTCTGGCAGGATGCTCAAGGCACACAATACTTCATACAAATACAAATATTTATTCAGGTAAAGTACATACATACAAGGTGAAATACAAAAGTTGGATTTATAGATAGAGCTAGTACATACAATGCCTAAAGCCACTGTTACGCAAAGCGTTTCGCGCAGAAACGATAGATTCCAATGATCAGATTTAGTTTCATAGATCCCAATGATATGAATGTGACCATTTCAAAAGAAAAAAGTTTATATTAATAGCAATTTTTTAAATGTAGCATTTACATTTAAATAATTAGCATTTACAGTACAATGAAAACAAAATGGATCCAAGCGAATTAAAATTAAGGGGTCCTAAAATGCCAAAGGATATTATATATTTGAAATTACAGAACTGTATTTATAATTTACTATACTGTACTGTCTTCCAATTTAGGTTCAGTACTAGTATAAGCAATAACAATACTGGATACTATTAAAAGCATACCAACAAACTTTAAAAAAAAATACGAATACAGTATTTACTGTTGAGTATGTTTGACAAATTTGCATATAATGTTTTGTTGCCATTCTCATGAGGAACTTTCCTGTGGTTCACCTCATAGCATACTGACCAATTTTTTATTTTTATTTTATTTGTATATACTGTACAAGAGTTCTTACATTCTTGTAAAACCACTAAGCACGCATAGTATTTCGGGCAGGTCCTTTATCCTAATTTTCCCTGGAATATGACCCACCAAATCGTTTAACAATTAGATACCCATTCACTGCTAGGTGAACTGAGGCATGAAGTTAAGGATCAGCACCTAGTCAATTCTCCTAAGCCAGGATATGAATCCAGGCCAAAATGCTCACAAAACGCAGGGAGTGTGTTTTACCACTGCCCCACGGGGACTGCAACTGTCGAGTCAATTCTACATAGGTGGTGTCACCGTCTTATTTCCTGGTAGACAATAAACCTCTGGTTTATTAAATGATTTTGGAATAAATATAGCTGATCTAAGTTATAAACAAGTTTGAAAATGCAAATCTGCATCTGCACAATGTTTTTATGCTGGCTAGTAAACAATTTATAGAACAGTTATTGTTTTGGATTGCAAAATATAAATACTGTACCACATTCTGACCTTGTGAGGCCTCACAGTTATACTGTGTTTTATAAACTTTATTATATATTTTCTGTATCTGGGCACTTTCCAAGTGTTCTATATGTAATTATGTAATACATTACTGTACTATATTATCCTACAGGAGTATAACAATGTACCGAAGTTTATAGTATACAGCAGCACTACTTGACAATTTTTTAGCTACCATAACAAAGATGAAATTCTTAGGTAGGACACAAAAGCCAAACACTGAAGAATCTAGGAACATTTTTGATCCTGCATCAAAATAACAGTCCTTCATTGGCCTGTATCCATAGCACAGCACTGTACTGGCCCGAGTCCGAACACAATAACTACCCCACACCTGCAACGTCAAGAACAAGCGGTCATATAATCAAGCTACGGAAACAAAGCTGCTGAAAGAACATTAGAAAGTTCACTTTTGTAGATTGGTGGAGAAAGTGGTTGATGCAAAAACATCAGTCGCTTCAAAGTGTCATATGACAAAGAGTACTGGGAAGAGGGGACACCACGAGCATAGCTCTCATCCTATAACTACAGTACACTTGAGTAATTCCACATAGGTCATTGCACATCTATGGAAAATAAGAAACTATAAGAGATAGACCAGAACTCTTTGAAGTAATTCATACATTTGAAAAAAGACCCATCAAAAACTATGTTACTTGGATATAGTGCAGAATATTACAGTATAATATAGCCAGATTTATTCTTGGTATAAAAAATATCACACCTCCCAAGGACCTGTATTCAAAATTATCCTACAAACTTTAACCTAACTTAGGTATGCTTAATTTATCAAGCATTTCTTCATTTACTCTTCAGAAAGAACTTAACTTTGCACGATATAATATACTTGCCAAGATACATGAAACACTCGATTCATCCCATTACGTTATCCAAATGTGAATAGACAGTATAGCATGTCCAAGACATTGTGTCTTTTAATCATTCATTACTAAAAAAATAACATTAAACCTTTAGGGGTTATTGAAGGGGGTTTCCTTGACAACCACATTTCTAACTTGCTCCTAACCTAAACAAGTGAGCACTAGAAAGTTTAAGAAACATGTCTATCTCAAAATGTGTTGGAAATCTGGCAACTGGACTTTGTACCATAGATGGAAAATTCAATACTTATGCTTAAAATTCAAGGTCAAACGTGTCCAAATATTAACATACATTACATTCACTCACAGGGTTATAAACCCATGGAACTGCCAAAACCATAAATACCAAGACTGTTGAATTTCAAACTCAACTGGAAAAAGATTATCAAGGCAAATATTAGGACCTACAAGCTTTCGACAAGTCGCCGGCTTCCTGTCCTATATTGAGGCCAATAGTGTTAGTAGCCCTCGGGTAAATCCAAGTTAACATTTAGAGCAAGCGCAATCCAATTCATTTTTAGTAAACAATCCCCAAGTCATATTACAGTTAAAGTGTTGTATAATAAAAGCCACTGTATCTCACTACAGCACCTCAAGATGAAGCAACAACACTGTACCACACATTCAGGTAGATTATCAGACTAACCCAAAACACTGTGCTCGAAACGCTTTGCGTATTAGTGCCTTTAGGCATAGTATGTACGAGCTCTATCTATAAATCCAACACAAACTTATTTTAAATGTATGTGCAGTACTTTTACCTGAAAAACATCATTATCAGCCTAACAGCCTGCCTTAACAGGCTGCCCTAACAGCCTGAGAATTAACTTGAGAATGGTCCAGGACGGACCGAAACGTTATCATCCCTTCACCTTCTAGCGTGTGGTCTGGTCAACATACTTTAGCCACGTTATTGCGACTCATCGCCTGCAGCCTGCCCTAGGCTTACTAACTCGACAACCACATAATCAACCTATTCAGGATATTGACGAGGCTTCACAGTATTCCATTCCTAGCTCACTTCTAACCTAAACCAACAATAACACACCTTACCGACTTATTATTATTATTTCCATAAAAGACAAACAAAAAGGATCAAAATTATCAAAGTTGTATAGAATTTGAGCATCAATCAAAAAATAAAAATAAAATAAAATGTTTATTTAGGTAAGGTACATACATACAATAAATTTTTACAAAGACTGGTTGACTTATAGGTAGAGCTAGTACATACAATGCCTAAAGCCACTATTACGCAAAGCGTTTCGGGCATAATCATAATCATGGATGAAATGGGATATAATGTAAAGTGAAAAATGTCATATTTCTTAATATCTTCCCAGTATGTCCTCCAGGTGACGGTATTTGAGAAATGAACTACTCATTACCCAGACAACATTCACCCCTTATCCACAGCAGGGAAAGTTGAGTCAGGTCAGGGTCAAGAACTATGCTCGTCTCCAGTAACGAATAACTTTCATTCCTTCCCGTAAATGGTAAGGAAAAACTCGCGGATTTTGTCTGCCGTTTTCTTGGGATGATATTCGGCCACCAATCCTCTCCATTACCACTATCATCTGCTGTAAACTGGCAAATGTTGGGAATTCTAGACCCCCCGAGAGGCTTGGAGATAGTCCCAGCGCCTCTATCAGGCTCTATAGCACCTAGCCCTCTAGTGCATGCACTCACTCACACCGACTCGTGGATATATTCAGGCTAGTGAAGGTGTGAGGCAGACAGTGGCGAGGCAGACAGCTCCATCCAGAAGAAGGAAAGGAACCCGGAGTGTTGCAGTCTGTCTGCTGCTGGCTGCACCTCACCTCTGCTGTAGAGTCCCGCCAGCTCCTTGGCGCCCTTGTGGTAGGGCCCCCAGCGAGGCTTGGTCTTCTCCTCCTCATTGGTGGCGGAGTTGTCGTTGGGGTCGTCCTCGAGCATGGAGTTATGGAGGATGTGGTCCTCAGTCTTGACGGGAGTCAACACAGAGGCCGCCATCTTCCCCGGGACTCAGCCCTCACTGACGCTCACACACCCACTTTACCTCCCTCACGGCCCCCCCCTCACACCCTCTCTCTCTCTCACCCCTTACCTCACACACACACACTCTCTCTCACCCCTATCTCACACCCCTCTCTCTCTCACCCCCTCCCCTCACACCATCTCTCTCACCCCTACCTCACCCCCTCTCTTTCACCCCTACCTCTCACTTACACCACCCTCTCACATATAACTAAGCTTTTGTTTTTGTGTGAAACGAAGGGGTTGGTGTGTTAAAAATATTTAAATCTTGCTAATAATCTGGAAATACTGCCACTGGCACTGTTGCATGCAAGCTGTATTGCACTAATTCTTTTTTTCTCTCTCTCTCCCCTCTCTTACTCATTTGCTCCCCTCATTCACTTATCTCCCTCCACCCTACATACACCTCAGACTGTAGGTGTTTGTCTGGTTACCCCACATAGCGGCTACCCTTGCAATAGATAAGCTATATCAACGCTCTACTCTCCTGATAGTATATTTTTCTCAGTCAAAAGCTGACATACAGCTTATTTGTGCTTTTGTTGGGATACCAGTTGGTGGTGGTGGTGGTGGTGGTGGTGGTGGTGATGGTGGTGGTGGTGGTGGTGATGGTGGTGGTGGTGGTGGTGATGGTGATGGTGGTGATAGTGATGGTGATGGTGATGATGGTGGTGGTGATGGTGGTGGTGATGGTGGTGGTGATGGTGGTGGTGATGGTAGTGGTGATGGTGATGGTGGTGATAGTGATGGTGATGGTGATGATGGTGGTGATGGTGGTGGTGATGGTGGTGGTGATGGTGGTGGTGATGGTGATGGTGGTGATAGTGATGGTAATGGTGGTGGTGGTGGTGTGGAAGAGGGATATATTGATCACTCACGATCCATGTCCACCTTTACCGTAGTATAAATACTGTATGATGCCATCAACCAGCTTAATAATTCACATGTCCCTCTTCGTAATCTCTTCTATTTCCAACGCATACATTTTTTTTTAATCCAAATATGTACAATATCTTCTCTCTCTCTCTCTCTCTAACACACATGTCATATAGTTGATTCATGAACTCCTTTGGTGATACACATACGGCAACCACCTAAATATTTTCCTATCGGAATTTCTGTTACAAGAAGCAAATAATTGAATGTACATAATATTGTTTTAAATACTGGTTTCTAATCATATATATTAACTTTTACCAAGCCACCACGGGTCGCAATGGCCTCCAGAAAGATGGTCTATAATTTCAGGCAAAAGACACTCTCAGACGTTGTATTACCTGGGATTTACCTGTGTCAAGGAGGCGGCCAGCAAGCAAGAAGCAACAGGTAACTCTGTATTGATTCCTCTACACATTTTTGGCTGCCTCTCTACTGCTGTCTACGCGTTGACATGGGGTAAGATAATGAGGTCTTCGAATTGTGTGAGAGGTACTAGGCTTTTGAGTAGTTCAGCCTGCTATTCCGATACAAGTAGTTTTTGTTCAGAAATTATGAGGGAAGGGAATTATCAGGGGAAAGCGCCAAGCTATTACGACTATATAGTACTTGGAAGGGATCATGATAAGGATTTGGAATGGTATCCAAGCACTTGGACGGTCGGGGATTGAACGCCGACCTGCATGAAGCAAGATCTTCATGCAACCTTCTGCTCTACCGTCCAGCCCAAGTGGTTGGGTGAATGGTAGTTGTGAATAGCATATTGAGGCTCATTGTATCCTGATAACATTTCATGAGCCTTTATTTTGCTTGGTAGATGTTATATGCAGGAGATATGATATGGTTAAAAACTCTCTCTTTCTCTCTTGGACTGCCTTTGAGCAGCCTAAGGGCAGCAATATTCCGGGAACAGCTACAAACCTAGTAAATTCACACCAATTCCTCCATCTACTTTCTCTTAATTGAAAGTTCTGAGCTAACAATTTAGCAACATCATCTACAATTGTACAAGAAAAGAAGTGAACGAAATAAGACAAATTCAGTATTCTTTACACTGTTGGTAGTCGTCATACCGGCGGGTCTAATAAAGTACACAATAACTCTACGGGATACAGGAATACAATTTCAATAGTATTAACACAAAGGATTATTTACTTTGTTTATCTATCTAAGGTTAGAGCCCAGACTTAATGCTAGCCACACCAAACTTTGCAAGGTGACCGCATGGTGGGTGCACGGGGACGATCATAGGGGGTTCAGAATCGGCCCTATGACCCCCTTAAAGGAGTCGGCCAATATGCCCACCCTTTCATAAAGTCGTTTAATATCTACCCAGGCATTCCACATCTTGTAAAATATTTATAAATCTTCCGAAATTTATTAACATTATATCAGCAACTGATAATATTTATATATACTGTAATTCTAAATAGCAGCACTCATTATCTAACTCCATAACATTATTCACAATATAAAAAATATTTAATTATTTCCACTGTTTTCTGATATTCGCTGATTAATACAGTAACTATAAAGTTTTTTGTAATAAATTCTAGAGAAAAACTAGAATTAGGGAAACTTACTTCTTTTTGCAAGAAAATTACCCAAGTTTTAGTAATAATAGGTGACGTGTTTCAGGACATGTTCCGTGTAATGTCCTTAAAGGCGATAGAACGACGTGCTTCGAGGGCCCTTCACCTCTGACAATGTTAAGACCAAACTATTGGGTAACGTAATACAAGGTGGGAGTCACTTGATTGTTTCAAGTGTAGGTCTGACGTGTATATATGAACGAGTCTATAGGGACGGGGAGCGGATATAAATCTGAGCTGGACCAATATGCTTTCTGCACTTCATTTAATGCTTATATGTTGTGATGTTAATACTAGTGACTGAGACGGCCTCGTTCGCCGACACAGACAGTTAAGCTGTTGGAAAGAGGCAACAAAGATCTCTGGCACAGTTGCACTGAGAAACTAGTTTATATTAATGAGTTCTACCGCCGCGCGGAGCTGACGTAGCCTATTCATTGTGTATATTTCATGGTAGGAATTTAAGTTCTTGTCATTACAGGACTTTAAGTTAGTGACACGAAAGGAAAAAATAATGAAAGAAAAGAAGGAGGAGGAGAAGAAGAAGGGAGAAGGAAGAATAAAGAGGCAATGGATATATATATATAATGAACGGTATATAATAATAATAAATAATATTATTCGATTTTATTTACCTGTGAATTTATTTATACTTTGTGTGTAATTACCTAAGTGTAGTTACAGGATGAGAGCTACGCTCGTGGTGTCCCGTCTTCCCAGTACTCTTTATCATATAACGCTTTGAAACTACTGACGGTTTTGGCCTCCACCACCTTCTCACTTGACATATGTTCCAACCGTCTACCAACTTCTTCTTGAAGTTGCTGGTTTCAGGAATTCCTCTGCCAATTTGGTCGATTCCTGTTATTATTTTGTAAGTGGTGATCATATCACCTATTTGTCTTTTGTTTTCTAGTTTTGGCATATTTAACGCCTCTAGCCTCTTGTGGCTCTTATTTTTTCAGTTCCGGAAGCTATTTTATTACATGCCTTTGTGTGTGTGTATGTGTACTCACCTGAGTACACTTTATGTGTACTCAATCTCACTTAAGTACAGTGCGATCACTGTACTCAAGATCCCACTTGAGTACAGTAAGTGTACTCAAGTGTATTCAACACTTGATGTATGTACGTGAGTGTGAGTAGTGTATTCAACTACTCACCTAGTTGTGCTTGCAGGGGTTGAGCTCTGGCTCCTTGGGCCCGCCTCTCAACTGTCAATCGGTTTAGGGCCCGGGCAGGAATTTCCCCGAAAAAATCAACTTTTTTTCACACACATCCAGGAAGCAGCCCGTAACAGCTTGTCTAACTCCCAGGTACCTATTTACTGCTAGGTGAACAGAGGCATTAGGGTGAAAGAAACGGTGCCATTTGTTTCCGCCTCCGATTTTGTGCCCCTCCGACAGAGGGGCACAAAAGGTCTTTATCAGACCTCATCTTAGATTATTACATAAACAATTTCTTCTATCCTTCACACCTTATAGTTACAATGTCAGCTAGTTACAGAGAAAGTGCTATTACAAGAGTTACATATTTACAGTAAGTCATCATACATTAATGGTAGGTCTTATCGCTAATACATAATAGTTTGACCAATGGGGATATTACAGAGTCATAGGGGAGCTGCTGTTTATTATTAGTCCTCACAATACACTACTTGTTTCTGAATCTCATATGTCGTTCATCTACTGGAAGCGAAATGTGGGTACAGTGCAAGGATTTCAGGTAATTTATCCATGGTAATAAGATAGGTTGTCATATCATACAGAGTGAGCTTAAATTTATCTCTAAAAGGCTCAATTTTACTACAATCCAAGATATAGTGTTCGAGTGTGTGTCCCTGTCTTTGTCCACACACTTTACACTTTACTTCATCTAGATCCCTATACAAGCCGAACTGCCAGAGATACTTGTAGCCAAGTCTTATACGAGCTGTGACAACATCTGTTAGTCTACTGACTTTGTTACTTGCCCCATACACATGTTTTACTTCACATATTTCATTGTGATGAACAATAGACCTGCTAGTTCCAGTTTGCACTGTTCTACTTTCTTCAAATTCATCCAGGAGTTCTCGTCTAATGACACTTTTAAGGGAACTATTTGATAACTCAAGATTCCATTCAATACTGTCTTTATTTACTGCAGCTTTAGCAAGGGCGTCAACTTTGTCATGTTCTTGCAGGCTAATATGAGAAGGAATCCACAACATTTTATTTAGCAAGAGAGTAAATATAAAAATGAGGAAATCATTGGTGAAATCCTGGGATTTGAAGCAACGTTCTCATTAACCCCAGTAGATTATCAAGAACGCTGGTTCGAGCCCCCGGATTGATCCAGTGGTATTCGCATTGATATTCCAGGCCAGTGTGGTTTCCTGGTGAGTATCATACGATGATCCCCCATTATTCCTGTACCCCAGTTCCCCTACGGCATCTTCCTCCCTCATGTCTCGCACCCATCGTCTCCCGCCCCCATTGTTTGGTTCCAATAATCTCTGCTG